GGAGCCGTGGGTTTCTGCTGGGTGGAAGACGGCAGTTACAGAAGAGATATGAAAGGAAATAGAGGCATAATCTTGGTTTTGTCTTTCTCATCCTCTCATTTTGCCTTTCTTCTGTGTTTTTTAAAGGGATAGTTCACCCAAAAATGTAAAAAATAATTACTCACCCTCATGTCGTTCCAAATCTGTAAGACCTTTGTTTATCTTCGGAACACAGATTAAGATATTTTTGATGAAATTCGAGAGCTCTCTGACCCTGCATAGACAGCAACACAACTGACACATTCAAGGCCCAGAAAGGTAGTATAGACATTGTTAAAAAAGTCCATGTGACATCAGTGGTTCAGTCTTACTTTAATGAAGCTACGAGAATACTTTTTGTGCTACTTTTCTCAATATCATCACATAACAAATTAATAACTTGAATTGTTAACAAGTTAATAATTAATAATGAATTACACAACTACTGTAAGTATATCCAACGTTACCCGGATATGTACAATATATTCTCATTATATATACAATATATATTTGCCATATACAACGTAACAAATCTCAACTGCTTGATTGATATATCATTCAAAATGTAAACTATATTTTAACCTAGCAATATATTAAAAGTTGGCTATATAGTATACCCTACTTGACCTGCATATACAGTATTCTCACGTAAAGCAAGATATTATAGCAAATCTCGGCTGTTTATATCATTGCAAGATGTAAACTGTACTGACGCATAGCTCTGTATATAAAGTTGGATATATTATATTGTTCCCAACCAGGGCTCTCAAGTCTCACGCATTCACCGTGAGATACACGCATTTCAACCAGTTCACACGCTCTCATGCCATACCTTGTATTTCTCACGCCGAGAAGTAAGGGATAATTTGAACGGCCCTGTATATAGCCTATATAATAAATAGACGAGGTGCAGGCATACGGAGGTAAGTTCTCCGCCGAGTTCATAGCTGTCTCAGAGTTATACAGAGTTAAATGCCACCTACCAGCCAATCAGAAATTAGAATGCTGTTGCTCTGGTAAATTAGGTGATCCCGCTGCAAGCGCGTTCGGTACCAAGCAACATATATGCGGGCACACACGGAGCGTAATTTGAAAGAGCAAGATCCGATGAATGCTGTAGGTAACCACTTATTTTATTTTTTTAACGATTCCTGGAAGAAATCACTTACCTGTGATCAAAGATAGTCAGAGCTGACGTTGGGAAGCCAAATTTCGTGCTAAATTATTATTGATATTAAAGCAATATTGCATATTGCAACCAGCTTTAACTTAGCTTTGGCTCCCAGAAACTAAGGAAAGTGCTATGTTATAACAATTGGTAAATCTGATAAAAGACAGATAAATTCATCCAACTAAAATAAATTGTTTTATATATTTAAAAAAAAAAAAGTTTAAAAAATACAAAGAAATTTGGCCCCAAACAACTGAACAGCAGTCCTCAATGTACTGTACACATACAGTATTGCAGAACTTGCCCCGAGTATGTCAAGCTGTGTGTAGCCTGTGTGTGTGTGTGTGTGTGTGTTTTTGTGACATATGAGGACACAAATTTGTATAATGACATGGGTATGAGAGAGAGAGAGAGAGAGAGAGAGAGTGAGAGTGAGAGAGAGTACACATTTCAGCTTATAAATGTTTTTTTCTGTTGTTTGTTGGACATTTTGATGTCTTGATTTTTTGAATGAAAGATCAAAAAGATAAATGATGCAGATTTATTTTCACAGCCATCTTTCCTTACCAAGGGTGCCAATATTAGTGGGCCGCACTGTACATAGAGTATACTTAGGGTAACATATATATTTATACTATAAAGCATATCTCAACTGCTTGAATTGCTTGTACTGGCACAAAATGGAAACTTTACCTGTCATCTGTTAAATGTGACTATAAGGCATGAATTGATTTTAAACATTAAAGGGGTCATATTACGTTGCTAAAAAATAACATTATTTTGTGTATTTGGTGTAATGAAATGTGTTTATGCGGTTTAAGGTTCAAAAAACACATTATTTTCCACATACTGTACATTATTGTTTCACCTCTATGCCCTGCCTTTCTGAAACGCGTCGATTTTTACAAAGCTCATCGTTTTGAAAATGAAGTTGTGCTCTGATTGGCCAGCTATCCACTGCGTTGTGATTGGCCGAATACCTCAAGCATCTGACGGAAATGTTACGCCCCTTACCACATTGTGATGATGCAGGCCGGAGCAATGATTCAAAAACATTAAAACCCATTATAAACGAGGCATTTGTAGCATCCAGTGGGGACATAATTACTGATTATAATAACTTATACTATATTTTTACGCGTTACGTTGCATCGCGCCGCGTAAACATAAAACCATGTCTGAATTTGTGATCGGAGAAACGACAAACAACAAGCACTACTCTACACTGCCCAAAACTCACGTTTGAATCATCAGTGGCAAATTCTTTAAATATAAAAAAACGTACTTACAGTCTGTGAGTCAGAACAGCCGGCATTGTAGTCTACACTTCCAGTAAACAGTCCTCCATAAAATGTGCTGCACACATCTGAATATTTGGGTTGAACTGTTCTGGAACAGTGTT